TGGTCAAAGGACATTTAACCAAATACCAAATTTGCAAAATCTGTGTTTTTTTCCCCTTTTTCTTTTTAATCTCTGGGTTTGTTTTGCTCTATTAGAATTGTAATACAATGGTTGCTGATGACACGATAGATAGATAGATAGATAGATAGATAATTTATTTATTTATTAACTGCATTTCTATACCGCTTTTCTCACCCCTGGGGGGACTCAAAGCGGTCCAACATAATAAATGATGATGATTATTATTAAACTTTATTTGTACCCCGCCAGCATCTCCCGAAGGACTCGATGCGGCTTACAAAGACCAAGGCCTCAACACAACAACAACAGACAATAACAACACAATGTAAAGCAATTAAAAACATAAGCAATAACAAAAACAAAACATTACACTATTACGCAATAAAACCAGGGCCGGGCCAATGAAGGGTACAGGTTAAAAAGTGCTGGGTGTGAGAGGTGATATGTTGGGATTCTGGGCAAGTGCAATGTGCAGAGAGTCTTAAACTCTAATAAAGTGCTTCTGGGACGTAGTGCTGGAGGTTATCCTATTCCGGAAAGGCACATCGGAATAGCCAGGTCTTCAATCTCTTCCTAAAGACTGCCAACATGGGTGCTAGTCTAATGTCTTTGGGGAGGGTGTTCCAAAGTCAGGGGGCAACCACAGAGAAGGCCACAGAGATGGCAAATTCAATGCCTCACATATATAGAAAAATATCCCATATCCAAATCAGTAACATATAACTGTAGAAAATAATCATTAAAACTATAAAAACATCAAGCATAGACATAAACATGAAACATATTATTACTGCAATTAACAATGTAGACCCCTTCTCCCCCCCCCCCCCCCCCCACCCAACTCTCTCTCCATAGCGTTTCAGCCCTTCTTTTTATACCTTCCCTGCTCCCCCATCCCACCAATCACAAAGTTATTTAGGTACAGATTGAATACAAAATGGGGAGGGTAAAAAAACATGTCCTGGGATTTCTTGAGGGATGGTAAATGTGATATGGGGTCCTTGGGGCAGGCGGAGGGAGAGTCTTATCTGATGATGGTAAGGCTGCTGATCAGTTTTGTAAAAGTCC